CATGCCTTCACTTGCCTTGGCCGAGATACCGCACAGAAAGTGAAAACGACCAAAGGTAGGCAAATCCATGGTGACTGTGCGCACATGGCACCTGACCCGTGCAGCCACGTGTGCTGCATTGTGGAATTTCCCGTTCAGTTCTCTTCGTGCAATTTCGTGTGTCGCCCCGATCCGGGGTTACCATGCTGCGGCCATAGCTTCAAACAGTCGCGCGCCCATTGCGCGGCGATCACATTTTCACGCCTGCCCGGGGCCTAAAGACGCACTTTGCAGCAAGTGTCGCGCGCTGTCCATGGACTGTAACCCCAGGCAAGCTGCCATGTCGTTTCCGACATCGCCTGAGTCAGTGCAGCACAGTGCAGCTGTAATTTATGGGTGGTTCGGTTTGCGTCAAAGCACGTGGTACCTCTGACCTGGTGCGCGCTGTGTTGGTCGACGCTTACATTTTAATGGTCACGCGAGGAGCCGGCGCACAGTTTGGTATTCTCACGTTGCACCCAGACCCGTGGTTTTCGTCGATTCCGATGAAAGTTTCCAACATAGATTCATCGTGGAATTACTCTTCGTGCATGTTTTTCACCTCTACCTATGGCAATCCAGTCGTCAATGAACTGACAAATGGCCAATGATGTGTCTGTTACTATGGAGATCTTTTTCAATGAAATGTCAGCACTCAGTGGAAGGCAGTGATCCATCGGTTCGCATCTCCGAATAGACGTGATTTGTTCCGGCGTGGTGCTCGCAGATCACACGTGGAGTCGCCCCTGGAAAACGTGCGGTGCCAAAGTGCATCTCAATGCTGCTGAGATATGTGACACCGGTGGTCAGAAAAGGCCACTAATTTCCATTGCTGTAGCTGAAGGACTTAAATGGTGATATAGGTAAGTCCAAAGGGAGGGGGAGGGTGACGAATCGGTCCCGCGGGACAATGTTTCACGCCCTTTACACCACGTTGTAGCACGCAAAACGACTATTTACCCTCTGATGCTCATTACATGACTACCGAACACTTAGTCGTGATTTAAAACTTAGGGCGGTGAAGATCAGTGAAAATAGATCTGTACCAGCTCGGTGCGTGGGTGCACCCTTCAGCGTAACGAACAAACGAGACGTGCAAATCTCACAGGGGTCGCGAAAGCGCCGCGAAACGGATGTCCGACGAGCGTGGAGACCACGCAAGAGAAGGAGACTTAATGTGCTGGGAACTCGATACTTCACTCATGATTGCTTGGGATACGAGGCAAGTTCCGCCTTCGAGGATCATTCGTGAGTTGAAGAAGCCAACGTATGGAGTCGAAGTGGGGAATCAAACTGCAGCGCCAAGAATTCTGCGTCACTCCGTGTGTGTACCAAAGAATGACGTCATTTACGTTGTGGATGGGCTATGATTTCCTGAAAAGACCGTCGTGCGCTGTTGGCGCGTAACGTGAAGACATCGATGGCCTCAACTGAAAGGGATTGTTCCACATTTGAAGAATTGAGATAAGCGTCAGTGTATGGAAAGGCCCACTTATAGCTATTTGTGTTCTTTTTAAGTGCAAAAAACTTATTTTGGCAACACGATTTCACGATTTGGTAAATATGCTCCTCAATACGTCATCGCTTGGTCAGTGTTGTTGCCAGACTGGCCGTGTGACAATTGTCATTGTCGCGGTTGGGTTGACTCGCTTGTTGGCGGGTTGACGGGTTGGCTTCAACTCTCCGAGAGCTGACTTCTTGACTGATGTGTTCAGACTGAACCGAACATGGTTGTGTATGCATGTTTTGGTCCTTTCTCGGGGTATTCTTGAACATTTGTCGTGTATTTTATATGTTTTACTTGCATTCTCATTCTCGCTTCACCGCGCTATTCTTAAGTTACTCGATTTCCAGCTTTTTCCGTTGTGTCTATTTCCGTGCGGTCCAAATTCCTGTATTGTATATTTCTAAACGTGGCTAGCACTCGAAGGTAACATTTACGCGTCAAGCTGGTTGAAGCCAACTATTGTCCATTAATGCTATGATTCGTTCTGACGTTCTTCGGGCGCGACTAACTAAATGGTGATATCTGTTTTGAATGTGAATACCACATGGTCACCGAGGAGACGAAATTTGTGTGACGTTTGATGACAATATCCAGTTTGGGTTGACTTTAACATAGGCGGTGCCAAAAAGTTAGCACGAGTTCGCGTGCGCCCTGCTCAAAAATAGGATTATTTTAAGTCTTAAAAAGGCATTAAATGTGAACTGTAGCTAATTCTCTTGAAAATCCCTATATCAGTTGTAAATTCCATACGGATGTGGAACAGTCCCTTTCAAATGGGTTTCATATCAATGTGTCTTTGTTTCAGACCGGTCAGAAAAGGAAGCGCCGCAAGTGAGACGCTGGATGGCCAAGTCTTTGCGATAGCCAGGGTGGTCATACCTGCCGAGCTGCCTGCAATTCATCCCAGCGTGGCATGGAACTGTTTTTGGTCGAGTGTCCAGCAAGAATGCTGTGTTATATACAGTGAACCCTTCACTCGGTTTTTTTGGGCAGATCATTTTCGAGAGGAAGATCATTTTCGAGATGATTAATGGCGAATGTAGTCTGGCTATGTTTGAGTTGGCTCATATTGGGCGTACGTGGTGCCTCGCCACACATTCACACGTACTTATACGAATGGAAACGTCCATAACCTGAATGTTGTCTTCGTCGTTTATAGCTGCAGGTATTTCATAAGCACGGATAACAAGTCGCATTGAGAAAGACGAATTGGTTAGCGTGAAAGTAGCGATTAAATACCTGGCGTAAAAAGCACCGAACGATTCAAGCCCTACCGCGAGGCATAGCACGAGAACACAGCACTCGCAGTGTTCACCACACCTGCCCAAATAGTCGGAGAAAAAGGCGCTGAGTCGCCTTTCTCATCCCGCACGTCCTGGGGCCCGTTGGAGGGCCAGCTCGCACGACTTTCACCAGAGTGAAAATGAGCTCGTAAAACGGAACTACAACATCCACCCTGGTAAATGTCTTGTTAAGGGACCTATGCTTGCGAAAAGAGGCTTTGATCTGTTGTACGTGCTTCCTAACAAAAACAAAGCATACCATTTCCAAAAACGAGCAACTCGTAAACCTGAACATATGCAAACAAATGAAGCCCTGCCAAGTCCAAAAAACGCGTTGCGCTTCATGCCGATTGTAACACAATGGAATAAAATACTGACACATTGAAAATACCATTGACGCTTACTCCCGCGACCCCTCCCGTCACTCCATAGGACTGTCGCCAAGGCCAACACCGCATCACTTGCTACAGCTTAAAGAAAACATGCCTGACAAGACGAAAAATGTGAATCTGGAGAATATGCCGCAATTTTCTAAACGTGAGTCTCAGCGCTTTTGCGGGAAACTCACTCCCTTTACGAGCAAGTGCTGTGTCTGGACATGGCCAAGTGACAGAGATTTGCTATATACACGGACAAATTACAGCAACATTTCAAGTGAGCTTGACTCTCCAGGCTATATCATCGTAGAATGCGACCAAAAAATGCTGAAAGGTAGTGGTAGGCTGGATGACACGGGGGTAGAGGCATACGGTGACGGAAGGAATGGAACACGTGTGCGCGTTGTATCGGTCCGTTGATGTTTGACAACTTATTGCAAAACGGCTATGCGGGAGCATAACAATTACCATTCAAATGTCAGACTTGTGTTCAACTCAAATTTTGGGGGGCCGGCTCAGGATCGATGCACAGATTTTGAGGTCCAATTCAGGTTATGACTCATTTCCGTTCCAAATTTTTTGTAAGGTTCGGCTCAGACTCGTTGCGCTGAATCAGCTGGCTCATGACTCACGCAGCCCGCAAAATCATAGTTTCGATTCAGTTCTGGCTCGTTGCTCTGACTTTTTATCCATATTACTCATGCATATATATATATATATATATATATATATATATATATATATATATATACTCTCATATATATATATATATATATATATATATATATATATACGCTCATACATATATATATATATATATATATATGTGTGTGTGTGTGTGTGTGTGTATGTATGTGTGTGTGTGTGTGTGTGTGTCATAGCATGAAAATTAGGTTTCGATAACCTAATAGCAAGTTTGTAGTTTGGACAAAGCGAACACAGTGCAGCATACATTCATGCCTTTCCTGTAACCTGTCACCAACAAACTGTCGCCAACAAACTGTCACCAACAAACTGCCTCAAGTCCCAGCTCTGCGCTAGCGCATTCTACCTGCCAGCTTTTACCCTGCTCATAGTAACATAGCATACAATGAAGACTAGACTACACTTAACTTGACAGTCGGCATTCGGCCCCTGCCAAGTCCCACCCAAGTACATCCATGCTTCCGCTGGCAAGAATTAGCCATTCGGTCAGCGACTTTACAAGTCAGCAGTTCAACATCGTACTGAAATTCTTGAAAGGTAGGTAAGTAGGTACTGAGGTAACGGGTACGTGGCTAAGACTCAAGGAGGGCTATAGAAAGGACTCAGGACAATGGAAAGACGATGAGAAATGAAAAAAACGATAAGGACTGGCACAGGCCAAGTAGGAAGGACAGGGGGATGGGACTTCCACTCATCGCAACCCCTCCTCATCGCATCCAATGCTACGCGCCCTAGTTGTAGTTAAAAAGGGCAAAATTGCGAATTATTTAACCGCTTCGAAACCGGAAATTGATTCCATCCCTGGGAGGCTGCATGCCGCACCATACGATCCGCATATGAGACGAGACAACCTTGCCACTATTGCTGTTTATTTCACATAGCTTCAGCAATAGCATGCTCATGACAGTTCAAGAAATGAATTAGGGGTCAAATATGCATTAGTTTATAGTTGCAACAACTGATAATGAAAATATGACCAGCCATTGGAATTTAAAGGAAGCAATAATTCACTGGGTTTAGCACTGGACGCAGGGCTGTAGAATTCTGCATCATGTAATATTCTCTGTTTTCTGCCTAGGAGTTGGCAAGCTTTAAATCAGGATTAACATGTTTTTCATGCTGCTTAGAAATTGCAACAATTTTTTAGCAAGCTTTACAGCTATTGTTGCATGCTGTTCATTTCAAAACACTGAAATGGTCTGTTAATCTCCCTGGGGTGTGCCGCGTCTCATGTTGCCATTTTAGTTTGAGTTGCGTGGCTCACTGGCATGTTTAGAAATGATGGGCTCACGTTTCAGCTGATGAAACTCACGAAGAACGTGATTCAGCTCATGGCTCGAAGCGGCGTTTTTTTTTTTTTTAATGAGCCGACTCAACCCACGGCTCATTCCAAAACTATTGGCTGGTGAGGCGATACACGATTTTATCTCAAGTTGAAAACAAGTGTGTCAAATGCGGGCATAATAATGACCACAGGCGATTCTTTTAATGCCTTTGGGAGAACCTTGCTTCGAGTGTTTGTTCCTCCCGCAACCCCCACCGCACCCTGTTCCACCCCACCCCCCACCCCCACGTACACCAGGTCTGGTGGTCAAACTAAGTTAGGACTGGATAAAAAAAACGCTAGAAACGTGTCTATGTGTTTGTGGAAGATGGCTCGCCAGGTGGATGAACTTCATCAATCTTTGTTCTTTAGTAAAGCCACGTGTTGTGTACGCCACGGGTTGCGTAGGGGGTATGTGGTTTTGAGTATGCCCACGTGTTTATATAATTACGATAAGTATATAGATAGTATCTTATAAATCTGTCGGAAATGTAAAACCGCTAAGGTCAAGTTTTGCTGGGCATGTTGGCAGCTGTGACGTTGAATCTGTCAGCAAGGCTCAAAAGTTAAGGCCAAGTTTGGTTCAGCGTTCTGACAGTTATGACGTAAGCCTCATTGGTTTCTGGGCACTGTCTGCTGTTCCGCGCAGCGGAGAGCTCATTCAGAGAGGTATGGTTCACCCTCACCCAGTGCTCGGACTGAGAACAGGGTTGGCTGGTCTCTTCAGCCCGCTTACTCCTCAGTCCGCCTGACCGTTCACCGATCGCGTGGCCCCGCCAGGCTGTCTCACTTGTTAGGTGCCACTAAAGACACGCAACGCATCCGTGAACGTGCATAGCGATTAACAGGCGCCGCTAAACACACGCAACGCATCCGTGAGCGTGCATAGCAACTAACAGGCGCTGCCGAACACACGCAACGCATCCGTGAATGTGCATAACAACTAACAGGCGCTGCCGAACACATGCAACGCGTCCGTGAACGTGCATAGCAACTAACAGGCGCCGCTAAACACACGCAACGCATCCGTGAACGTGCATAGCAACTAACAGGCGCTGCTGCACACACTTAACGCATCCGTGAACGTGCGTAGCAACTAACAGGCGCCGCTAAACACACGCAACGCATCCGTGAACGTGCACAGCAGCTGACAGGCGTCGCTAAACACATGCAACGCATTCGTGGCGCTGGTGGCCGCTTAACACGCGCTCGAGTGGAGGGTCAAATTGACCCCCCCCCCCAAGACTTTTCCGCAATGGTTTCCGAATGGTGCAGCGTAGCCGCGCCAAATTTTGCATAGCTGTAGACAATTGAATAGCGGTTCGCTTGGTGTAAAAATTGAAATGTACCTTGTTAGGTCAGCAGGTCAAATTCAGGCCATGGTTTCAGCTAAGTAAATTTCCAGGGAATTTTTAACCTGATGCAACAACGGAGTGTTAGACATAGCCATACATTCCTGAGATGCTTTTTTAGGCAACACAAATATTGAATGAGCAAATTACGTTGACCTTAAATCAGGTATGAAGGTCAGACCAGGGTCAACACCAACCTCTTTTGTTACTCTGGGGCTTGCTGTATGAGATAGTTTCTGGTGCTCATTTCGAATTGGCTGATGGCAGGAACCGCATTATGCATCTTCCATGGACTTCTTAGAGGTCAGAATAGACCATTAACCTAAAACGACCCAGGTCAATGGTTTGTTTTTAGAAACATGCTGCCTAGAGTTATCTCTGTCGCTTGTTCAAATGCAAAACTCAAAGCAGTCTTGTATGATTTTGGTCACCGTGACCTTCGAAAGGTCAAGCAAAGTCACTGACCTTGAATAAGCACGTGACCACCTGCTTACAAGTAGATATCTAGGTTCTGGGGCACTTTAAAGACCAACCCGGAATTTGACATTGTCTGACCTTTTTTGGTCCGAAGGTCATCACCTAGGAATTTCAAACTTTGACCTAAGTGAGCTGATGTACAGGTCAACACACCCGGTAAATGTAGTGTCTTTGGCTCTCTTAGTTCCCGAGATCTCAGCGGGGTCAAATTGACCCCCACCGCCCACCCCCACCCCCACCCGAGCGAAAGGTGTCTAGCCGGCCACCCGGACGTGTGTTAACGCACACCACGGCACACCTGCCGCATAGTTTGCATTGTGGTCACTCCTGTTGTTGCCGGCGTTCTTTTGGCAGCTGCACTCTGTTACTTGATTTCTTATGCGCGTCGATGGGATGCCCAGAACCCCTAGCCTCGCCCCTACTCCACCCACACCCCACAAGCGAAGCCGCATGGTAA